TCCCCAGTCGGGGGTGTGCAGGAGGCAGCTGATCGATGTTTCTCTCTCATCTATGTTTCTAACTCTCTATCCCTCTCCCTTCTTCTCTGTAAAAAAGCAATAAAAAATATATATTAAAAAAAATGGATGGTTTCAGCAAAAAGTAAGAGTTTTGAATCCAGCCGAAACCGGTTTGGCTCAGTGGATAGAGCGTCGGCCTGCGGACTGAAGGGTCCCAGGTTCTTTTCCGGTCAAGGGCATGCACCTGGGTTGCGGGCACATCCCCGGTGGGGGATGTGCAGGAGGCAGCTGATCGATGTTTCTCTCTCATCGATGTTTCTGACTCTCTATCTCTAAAAAAAAGAGTTTTGAATCCATATGACTGATAGGGATTTTTAAATGTCAAAACTCAAACTTAGGAAAATTCCTCTAAGTTAGAGGACGTAGCCCCAACAGACACATTTTGTTTTGACCAGATAGTTTTTTGGTAATGAGACTGTTCGTAAGAAGCTTCTAAAGACCATCATCGATAATAGGCACTAGACAACTACTACATTAATGAAATTGACTTTATGAAAAAAAAATCCAAATTATAATGTACAGATGATTGTATAGTAAGTATATTGTCAAAGAAATGAGATGATACAAACTCAGAAGAGAAGGGCTTCACATACTATAGGTAGTAGATAGAAGTCAGCTCTAAGAAAAGGATGTTATGGGGTACCCACCCTCCTGTTATGAGCTGGGTTCTCCTGGTCATCTGTAACCTCTTCTTTTTCTTCTTCTGCCTTTTCTTCTGGATTGTCTATTTCCTTTAAGATAGAGGCAATATTTAGCTGTACTCTTAAGCTTTGGGACAAAAATCACCCCCTGTCCCCCAAGTAGCTTAAAACTCTCTAGAAACAATTTCTAGTGCTTGATAGTGTTACTCATGTGGGGCCACATGGTAAACACAGACAAGCCCCATTCTCTGGACTAAAACCTGGAAAGTAGCTAAAAGGATATTCTTGACATTGTTTAAAAAAACAGAGGCCCTAGTCAGTGTGGCTTAGTTTGTTGGGGGTTGTCCTGTGCACCAAAAGGTTGCCAGTTCAATTCCTAGTCAGGGCACAGGCCTAGGTTTTGGGCTTGATTCCTGCTAGGGGGTGTGCAGGAGGCAGCCAATAAATGTTTCCCTCTCACATCGATGTTTCTTTCTCTCAAAATCAATAAAAATTATTTTTTTTTAAAAGAGAGAATGAATGGAACGAATGAACATGTGCCCACCTTGATATGAAGGGCATTAAGTGTTACTATAGATCCCTACATAAAACATGTGTCAACCTGAGATCCTCTTCGTTTGGAGATGATCAATACCATAGTAACACCCTCTGGCCAAGTAACATTACCTCGTGGTCACTGGATACAGTCACTTTCTCAGCAGGATCTTGTTCTGCTTGTGGGTTGGTATCCTCCTCTACAGTCTCATTCTGCTGCTCCATCTCTAGCTCTTTCCGCCGTGCTTTTCTCCGTCTTGTCTCTGCTCCAACGATGGGTAGGCTTGGAGGAGGTGGGAGTGGCAGTTCTGCAGCATTGGGATTCCTTTTCTGTATAGGGCAATTCCGGTTCCCCTTGTGACATGCACAGTCTACTTTATAATTACTGCTCCAAAGAAACAAATAAAAGTGCCTGTCTCAGTAACCTTGAAAATTAGTTATATTACCCATTCATTCTCTTAAAATATTACTACAGTAATTTCTTCTGGTATTATGTGTGATTAAGTTAAACAGAGACATTAGAGAGTCCTATGAGTACTTTCAATATTCTGTGTGTCTACAGAACCCAACTTTTCCCACTGACCTATGGTCAATGGAAAGAAAAGAAAGCCCCCACTAAATTCAATTCTCCCAACTGTCTTTATGCTACTGAGTGAGCAATGAATCAGTGAAAAATTCTAAAGTGGCTATACTTATCTTGTGTCTACATCCACCACTAACATTTTTACCCACTAATTCCCTACTTATTATTATTTTTTCTTAAATATTTTTATTGATTTCAGAGAGAGGAATGGAGAGGGAGAGAGAGATAGAAACATCACTGATGACAGAGAATCACTGATCAGCTGCCTCCAGCACACCCCACACTGGGGATCAAGCCCGCAACCCCGGCATATGCCCTTCATTGGAATTGAACCCGGGACCCCTCAGTCCACAGGCTGATGCTCTATCCACTGAGCCAAACTGGTTAGGGCCCTACTTATTATTAATACCTTTTATTATACATGTGCCAAACATCAATTTATCTATAACCTTTTTTGCCTAAAAGGACCATGGAAAAAAAATCATCCATTTTATAAAACCCATCACATATTCATCTGTGATTTGCCATTTCTGTTTTTCTGTATTGTCATATGTAACTAGATTACATGATTTGAGTGGATGGGGTGAACCTTTAAATTCTCATTCTATATGACCCCTGGCATAACTGCTGTGTGCATAGAACTGATGCTGTCTCAATTTTCAGGAATGTCATACATATCCATTTTTTGCTATTCTTGCTATAAAGGTATAAACTAACATACATTTGGTTAGCACGCTATTGAGCAGTTCAATACTATGTATTTATGTCTCATAAAACAAACAAAACAAAAAACGCCCAAAATCTCTCTCCCTCCAGAATTTCTAAGCAGAAAAATGCAATACTTGTGAAAAGATTAGTTAAAAAAGAGAAAAATGTTTAGGAACAAAGCAGACCTAATAGCTTAATATGTAAGATAAGGTCATTCATGTTAGGAAAGGTTTTAGAAGTCTTACCAGTTACTGTACTCATAATCAAAAGCTATGGTGACTTCAGCATCCTTGGTGATAGCAGACACAGCATAGATACACAGGTGAATCATCCCATCTGCAATCATGTGTCGCACCTGTGTGAATAGCCCTTATGATTGATGATTTATCACAAAGACCAAAAATTCTCCAACAGAAAAAAAACATTTTATACAAATAATTTATTCCCAGTTAGAGTTATAGTAGTCAACTCTATCATTTCATTTGTAACTATTATATAGTAACTGTTTGAAAATGTATGATGCTTCAGTAAACCTTGAGATGTTAGAAATCAAAGTACAACAACTATTTTATATATTAAAGCTGTTTTCAGAGAATTAAAATTCCTTAGCCTGCAAGAAAACTGTAGAGTTTCTTACTTTATTTGATATGGTTGCACTGATTAATCAATTCTAAAAATGTCTAGAAGCACTATTAACCATACAGCTTAGTTTGGACCCAAAGACATCTTCTACTATATGGTAACTTCTTTACTATAAACTCTTTGACTTCTTATCCAGTCTAGCGCTTTCTCTTTAACAAATGCTTTTCCCACTTCTTCCTCTCTAAAAAGAATTCATTCCTTGCCCCCATCCTGTCAGAATAAAAGCATCATTACTTTTGTTTTTGTCTCTCTTTTACAATTAAAGATCGTAACCATTATCTACAGACTTTAACCTGGGTGAAGTTTTCAGATTGTTTCTTCAGTAAACTTATTCCATTCTTTGGTGATTCCATTAAAAGAGAAGTTGCTACAGAAATCTTACCTCTGCATTTGGTGTACATGATCTTCTGATGAACCGAGCATCATTACCGAAAGTACGTGCATCCACACACATCTCTACACCATTGAATTTTGAGTAGAAGAGCACAAAGGGGTATGGTCTAGGGATATAATTAAAAATTTCTGTAATTCTCAACACAAATAAAAAGGCCACCCCGTTGATTTCAAATATAAAGCACATGCTGACAGAAGCAGCAGTAGTCTTTTGCAATGCCTACACTTGGAAAATATCACATGCTTGTCTGCTTTTGATTAAAGAATAAGCACAAAGCAAGGAATGCTTGGCCTGGAGTCATTACCACTTTATACATTAAACAGTCTGCAGACTTATTAACACTTCTCTAGCAACGGCAGACATGAATGAGATTATTTGAGCTGTAATCTTTTCCCCAAGAGAGTATCCTATCAACCAGAATGGTTTTTATAGCGATACGGCTCAGCCAGGCCCACTTTAGCCCTCACTGCTCACAAAATGATATTCTTACTTTTTGAAGAAATGCCCATTGACCTCAAATTGCTGTCGTAACATGACTTTCCCTCGATACTCTATTATAAGAGTGTCCAAAGCCAAATCTCGTGCAGCCCTCAGGATCTTCCGGTGCTTTTGAACACGAGTGACTCTTCCCAACTGTAGCTGAATAAAACCAGAGTATTAACATTAGATAGCAACAACAGCAGTGTCTTATACATAATAAAAGCCTAAGTGACTGTTACGGCGAAACGACCAGAATGACCAGTTGCTATGATGTAAACCGATCACCAGGGGGCAGACACTCAACAGAGGAGCTGACCCCTGGTGGTCAGGGCACTCCCACAGAGGGAGTGCCACTCAGCCAGAAGCCAGGCTCACAGCTGGCGAGTGCAGTGGTGGTGGCAGGAGCCTCTCCTGCCTCCATGGCAGCATTAAGGAGCGGCGAGCTGAGTGGTAAGGACCAGTGAGCAGACAGGCGGTAAGGAGTGACGGGTCCCCTGAGGGGTCCTGGACTGCAAGAGGGTGCAGGCTGGGCTAAGGGACCCCCCCACCCCTCAAATTTCATGCACTGGGCCTCTAGTGTGGACAGTATTTCCTAACTGAGGAAAAAACACCAATGCTTTTAGGATGTATTTGTATATATTATTTAGCTCAATGATCAGAAATTTTTTTTCATATATTTTTATTGACTTTTAGAGAAGAAGGGAGAGGGAGAGAGAGAAACATCAATGAGAGAGACTCATTGATTGGCTGCCTCTTGCACGCCAACTGGGAATTGAGCCCGCAAACCTGGGCATGTGCCCTTGACAGGAATCGAACCCAGGACCTTTCAGTCCTCAGGCTGACATTCCATCCACTGAGCTAAACCAGCTAGGGCTATAATCAGAAATTTTTGAGTTGATGAAAGGTCAGTATTTCTAGGAAAAGGATTCCATGTAGTGAACCTGCCACATTCCCTCACACCTTCACAGCTTAATTTGGGCCCAATGACATCAAGAAAAGATACAAGCACAGACAGAAGGGTTAAGTGGTTGAGCGTCGATCTATGAACCAGGAGGTCATGGTTTGATTTCCAGTCAGGGCACTTGCCCAGGTTCTGGGTTCTTCTCCGGTAGGAGACTTGTGGGGAAATAGCCAATTAATGATTCTATCTCACCATTGATCTTTCTTTCTCTGTCTGTCTCTCCCTTCCTCTCTGAAATCAATGAAAATATATTAAAAAAAAATCCAAGAAAAATGCATAATTATGATTTTAGTGGTCTATGTCTAATATAAAAATGGGGGGAGGGGAGAGAGAGCTTAGCTTTCTATTAAGCTTAATAATTCCTACTGAGGCTGCATAAAATTTCCTATCTTAATTTATATATTTTTAATTAATCAAGATAGTCTAAAAATATATAACTGAATAGTGTCCAGTTACTGTAACTCCCCCCAACCACTACTGATTTTTTTTTTAAAATATATTTTATTGATTTTTTACAGAGAGGAAGGGAGAGAGATAGAGAGTTAGAAACATCGATGAGAGAGAAACATCGATCAGCTGCCTCCTGCACACTCCCCACTGGGGATGTGCCTGCAACCCAGGTACATGCCCCCGACCGGAATTGAACCTGGGACCTTTCAGTCCGCAGGCCGACGCTCTATCCACTGAGCCAAATCGGTTTCGGCCTGATTTTTTTAAAAATATATTTTTTATTGATTTCAGAGAGGAAGGGAGAGGGAGAGAGAGATAGAAACATCAATGATGAGAGAGAATCATTGATTGGCTGCCTCCTGCATACCCCACACTAGGAACAGAGCCCACAACCCAGGCATGTGCCTTGACCAGGAATTGAACCATGACCTCCTGGCTCATAGGCAGACGCTCAACCACTGAGCCATGCCCGCCGGGCTGATTTTTAGAGAGTGGAAGGGAGAGGGGAGACAAGAGGGAGAAATATCGACGTGAGAGAGACACACTGATTGGGTACCTCCTGCATGTGCCCCGACTGGTGCCAGGGATCCAGCCTGCACCTGAAGTGTGTGCCCTTGCCCAGAATCGAACATGCGACCATTCAGCTGGCCGGTCGACACTCTAACCACTGAAGCAAATCAGCTAGGGCAACTATAACCTGCTTTTGGTTAAAGATGCTCTAAGTCGCCAAAACCGGTTTGGCTCAGTGGATGGAGCGTCGGCCTGCGGACTGAAGGGGCCCGGGTTCGATTCCGGGCGAGGGGA